CCTTAGGCACTGCACCACCAAAACTCAAAAATAACCAAACTCACTGCCCTCAAGGCGATTTGACTCATAGTGACCCCTCCTTGGGTTTCCCAAATGGTAAATCTTTTACTCAAGTAGATTGCCCCATCTACCTTCTGTGGAACAGAACAGCTGGTGGGTTTGAACCACCTACCTTCTGGTTAGCAGTCAAATGCCTTACACACTACACTCCTTAATACTAGTACTAAAACCAAACCAAACCAAACCAGACTCACTGCCATCAAGTCAAGTGGAGGTGACTCACAGAAACCCCTCCTTGGGTTTCCAAGGAGGTCAGTCTTTACAGAAGTAGACCGCCCAGTCTTCCTTGACAGGAGTGGCTGGTGGGCTTGAACTGCCAGCCTTCTGGTTAGCAGTCAAATGCCTTAGGCACTGTGCCACCAGAGCTCCTTAAAAACCACTCCAGGAGGCTCAAATACCAAAAATCCAAACCCACTGCCACTAAGTCAATTCTGACTCACGGCGCCCCTAGAGGACAGAGTGGAACTGCACCACAGGGTCTCCAAGGCTGTCAATCTTTATGAAAGCTGACCGCTTCATCTTTCCCCCAAAGAGTGCTTGGTGGGTTTGAACCGCCGACCTTCTGGTTAGCAGCTGAGAGCTTTAAATCCTCGGGAGGCTCAGACAGGTTAAGTCTTTTGCCATCTTACCAACTGCTGGGTCTTGATCCATGACCCTTTTGGTCTCTAACGACTCATTCCCTTGAGGTTCTCAACCAGCATCCCAGTATCACGGCTTTAAATGTCACCTCTCTGCTGACTACGTCTCCACCCCCTCCTCTCCCCTGAACCCAAATATCCACATCCTCTTAGTTGTCTCACCAAAACAAACCCCAAAACCAAACCTGTTGCTGTCGATTCCGACTCATGCAACCCGACGTGTGACAGAGAACTGCCGCACAGGGCTCTCTTGGCCGTTGGCTTTATGGACGCAGACTGCCAGGCCTTCCGTCCACAGCACCGCTGAGTGGGTTTGGACCACTCACCTCTCTGTTAGAGCGCAAACTGTATGCGCCACCCAGGGACTCCCTGGATGTCTCACAAGAATCTCCAGCTTAGCAGGCCTCACACTGAGCTCCTAATCTCCCCCAGAAAGGTCCTGCCACCCCACGGTCTCCCCCATGTCAGCAAGCGGCAGCTGCTCCGTCTAGCTCCCTCCTCAGGCCCCAAACCTCCACTGCTGTTCTTCTCACATCACCCACATCCAGTCCAGGAGCCAATCCTGATGCTTCAAACTGTGTCCAAGCACTTCCCACCCCTCTGCACTCACGACCCTGGTCCACTAACCTTGAGTTCCTATCTGGGCGCTTGCGGTTGCCTGTCCCGGCTCCCTGCTTCCACCCTCAACCCACCCCCCGTCTGTTCCCTCCACGACCACCAGAGGGCGCCTGTGAAAACCTAAGGTAGCTCCTGTCCTGGGCTCACAAGGCTGCCTTGGCTCCCGCCCCACTTAATAAAAACTAAGAGCCCACCCTGGCCCACAAGCTGTGAGCTTTGTTCCCTCTTTGATCTTATGTCCTGCCTTCTCCTCTCGAAAACTCGGCTCCAGCCATACTGGCTTCCTCGCTGTAGTCAAACTCAAGTCAAACTCAAGTTAAACTGGAGTCAAACTCGTCACATCGGCCTCAGGGCCTTTGTATGCGGTTGTTCCCTTTCTCTGGAAAGAATGCCTCCTCTTCAGATATCTCCAGGTAATCCCTTCATCTCTAAATTTTAGCTCAAACCTTCCTTCTAATACACCCAATTTCCCCTTACCTTACCCGTTTCCCAGCCTGCCAGTTGATTCTGACTCACAGCGCCCCTAGAGGACAGAGGGGAACTGCACCACAAGGTTTCATGGCTGTCAGTCTTCATGGCCAACAGACTGCCACATCTTTCTCCTACAGTGTGGCTGTGTGTTCGAAAAGCTGATCTTTTGGTTAGTAGCCAAATGCCTTAAACACGGTGCCACCAGAGCTCCTAAACTGCCCCCTTGGTCACCCTTCTGGGCTGCCGTGCACCATGTCAATCCCGCCCCTGCACTCCGTTCAAATGACATACCGATGGATTTTTGCCGGAGCATAAGCCCAGGTCCTGGGGGCAGGCATGAAGGACGTTCATAACTCGGCTGGGAGCGGTGATGGGGGTCGAAGCTCGACTTCAGGATCGGAGGAAAGCGAGAGAAAAAACATTGGAGAAAAATCAGTCAGGGTGGGACGCTTCACAGCTTGGGGGCACAGCCACGCCCCCATTCCTTTCCAGAGCTGCCTCCAAGCCCCGCCCCCGCAGGAAAGGGGAGGGGCATGACAATGGCGGAAGGGGCGTCAGGGGAAGGACAGGTCTCTGAGCGTCAACAGGGCAGGAGAGGAAGGGGCAAGAAACAGATGATCAAGAGCCCTGTTTGCACTGCAGGATGTCCCCAGTTTAGAACATACTCAGTTTACGACATACTCCATTTATGACAGTCTTTTTTTTTTTTTTTAATTTTACATCTCATCATTTGTGTATGTATATGGCGTTGCGGCAGTGTGATGGTCCCACAAAAGAGATAAAGGAAAAAAGGAAAGGACCACATAGAAAACTGTCAGTAATTTTCCGTCTGGAAACACCATCCCCATCCCCAGAGGTGCCCCAGGCGATTCAGAACCTTCCACAAATGGTGTTTATCCCGCACCGGACAAATGCCAACGCCCTCCAACTCTTCATCAGCAAATTTTCATGATTTGTGTATGTTTTCAACATATGGATGCATTAACACGTATCTGTAAGCGTTTGGCTGTGCACTGAACGGTCAGCAGTTCGAACCCGCCCCCCCCCCCCAGCAGCTCCATAGGACACAGGCTGGCAACGTGCTTCCATGGAGACAGTCGTTGCTAGGCGCTGTCAAGGTGATTTCAACTCAGCAACCCCGTGGGGCAGACTAGAACTGCCCTTGTAGGAGCTGAACAGCAGGTGGTTCTCCTGAGGATCCGTTGGGTGGAGTCAAACGACTCCTTAATTATTGTCACCCCACAGGGCTCCTTCCATAAAGGCTAAAAAACCCTATTGCCATCAAGCTATTCTGACTCATAGCAACCCTATAGATTACCCCCTAAAGTTCATAGCCTTGAAAGCCCTATGGAATGCAGTTCCAATCTGAAACACAAGGGGTCGCCAAGGGTCAGGATCGACTCAGTAGCAACAGATAATGTCTACTATATTGGACAGAGCGTCCTCAGCACATGTCTGACACGATGGAAAGTTCTAGAGCTCCACAGGGACTGTGCTACCCGCCTCCCTGCACTCCCCTCCCCGGGCTGAGACCGTCGGTCTCTCTGTTTATCTCATCCGCTCATCCCACATCTTTTGCCAAGCCCCCCGGCTCTGTGCCAGGAACTGTTCTGGATGCCGCACATATGTCAGGAAACAAAAGAGACAAAAGCCTGGGCCCTCAGGAAGGGCAGGGGGACCAGACGCAAGATGAATCAGTAAAATCGAACATGGGTTAGATAGAGATAAGGGCCAGGAGACAGGGAGAGTATAATTTAAAATCAGCAAGTTCCAGCCACCATTCTTGAACGTTTTGAACAAAGATGCTATAGGAGAATCCTGATCAAAAGGGAGGAAAATGCAGAACAGAACTTCAAATTCTCATGCAACCCCTAGATTTTCTGGAGTCGTGGAGGTTGGATAACCCCTCGAAACTACTGCCCTGAGATAATCTTTAAAAACCTTTAACGAAAATATTCCCTGAAGTCTTCTTAAAACCGAATAATGATTTAGTTTAACTGGTAAGGAATGTGTGCCTCTAATATTGGGACCTTACAGGAGCTGTCTGTCTCTGGGATGAAACTGACAACAGCAACTCGAAAGATGAGACAGGAAGTTGAGGGGGCTGTGGTTTATGTTCACGGGGGCGGGACAAGTCAGAAAAGGAGGATGGAATGGTTGCACCACTCGAAGCATGTCGTCAGTGTCAACCGAATTGTACAGGGAGAAATGGCTGAGCTGTGCATGCTTTGCTTGGTACGTTCTAAACAACAATAAAATAAATGACGGAAGAAAAAATAGAGAATAAGGTAGTCCTGGAGGCCTCACTGAGGATGCGCATGCGCATGCGCAAAAACACCGGCAGGCAGGCGGTAAAGGAAGCCAGGTAGGTGTGTTGGGGAAGAGTGTTGCCGGCAGAGGGAACAGCCAGTGCAAAGGCTCAGAGGTGGGAGCAGGTCTGGCATGCTCCAGGAGGAGTGGCGAGGCCAGTGTGCCCAGAAGAGGAAGCTGGGGGAAAGAGGTGGGAAACCAGGTCAGACCAGGCTCCCCCGTTTTCTGCTTCCTCCTGGAACATCGTGGCGTCTTTTATTTACTACAGTTTGAAGCAATTATGGTTACTCGCTTGTCTAGTGCCTGTTTTCCTGGCTGGTGGAAACACAGAGATCCCAGCAAGGTCGGGGAAGACTCAGAGGGGGAAACTCAACATCCCTGCCAAACAGCAGCACCAGGCCACGCCCAGCACCCCCGTCTCGACCAATTTCGCCCACTCGCTTGTCCTCTGAGTGTGATTCTCAACCTGCCCAACTCTCCTTGACTTTGCTAATTTTTTTCTTTTCTTTTCAGCCTTTCCCTTCTTCCTAAGCCTCAGCCAACAGCCTACTTAGTTTTCTGCCCTTTCCCTGCAGTTGGTGATGACTTGTGTCTGGGGCAGATTATGCAACAAGCAAGATAAGCATGGGTTTACTTGTGCTTACTTAACTCATCTGTGGTAGACAGTTTCACGTTTTTCTATGTGTGTGGTGAAACCACCCACTGATGCCATGGGAGAAAGATAACAGTGATGTGCCTCCTTGAAGATTAAACTCAGAAAAACCAGACTCACCGCCATTGAGTCGATTCTGACTCACAGCAACCCCCACTGGGTTTCCGAGGCTGTAAATCTTTATGGAAGGAGATCGCCCCATCTTCCTTCCGTGGAGCAGCTGGTGGGTTTGAACCGCTAATCTTCTGCTTAGCAGCCAAAGGCCTTATCCACTCCACCACCAGAGTTCCTTTGCACAAAGATTACAGCCAAGAAAACCCCACGGGGCAGGTCTACTCTGGGAGTCACCATGACTCAGAACTGACACTATGGCACCCAGCAACCGCCATTCTCAGGGCGACAAAAGTGTGGGTCAGAAGGGTCTTGTCCTAGATGCGCTAGTGAGTAAGGGGATTATAGGGGGTCCCCAGAAAACAGCGGAGTGGTTAGAAAGTCAAGACATAGATGGAAAAGGTAAGGAGGAGGCTACAAGGAAGAGAGGAGAGGATGGGGTCAGTGAGGAAGGACGCGGGGAGTGCTGAGGGCAGGGGAGGCCTGAGGGGAGGGGGGGCAGGGAAAGTTCTGAATGAGGGACGGGGGTCATGGGATGACAGCCTGGGAGGGTGGAGGGCGAGAGGGAGGGGATGCTGAAAAGGGGAAGGTAGGTGAGCCACGGACCAGGGTCGGACAGAGGCCGGAGCAGCTGAAAGACAGGGAGGGTCGGTGTCATGGAAGGGGTCAGAGGGAGACAAAAGATTAGAGTGAATGAGGAGCGGTGACAAGGGAGGGCCCAGAGTGACAGGGAACTCACAGTGGCAAGGGAGGGGTCACGGGGACAGAGGGGGGGTCTTGGGGACAGGGGAGGGGTCATGG